CTGGTAGCAACTAACCTCAGGCCACGGCCGCACTGATCGCGGCCGTTTCGGACGAACCTCGACGAACCGAGGATATTTGTGGCCCCGACGAAGGAGCGGCGCCTACAGACGATGTTATTCCACAAGAAAGGGAACAGAAAGAAAAACAGCGTCCGCAACAACAACAACAGCAGCGGCAGCAGCAGGAGCAAGAATCTCAAGTTCAGATTCATGTGGAACAAGAAGCACCTCAACCACAGCGTCAACCACAGGAACAACAGAAACAGGAGGAAGTGCAGTCACAACAAAAAGAACCGGGTCATCTACAGCAGCAAGTTCGTCAGAAGATAGAAAAGGACCGGGAACAACGGAAGCTTCAGCAAGAACAACAGCTATTGCAGCGTAAACTGGAACTGGAAGAGCAACTACGGCGCAAGTTTGAGCGAGATGAAGAAACGTTGCAGCGAAAACTAGAACAAGAAGAAAAACCGTTGCAACAGAGGATGGAACACGAAACACAAACGAAACTAGAAAAAGACAAAGAGGAAATTATACGGTTGAAAAAAGAACCAGAGCAGCTGAAGAAAGAAGAAGTGAAACGTTCGCCGAAAGCTGAACAGCGTGTGCAGCAACAGAAAAAAGTTGACGATAAGCAGTCCCAACTGCAAAAGGCAGACGAACAGCCGGAGTTACAACAGAAACGCAAACAACTGCAAGAACCGCTGGATAAGAACGAGCGAGCGAAACTGCGCAAGCAAGGTGAGAAAGCGGAGGTATCGCGTCAGGAGTCACTTGTGCAACAGCAAAAGATGAAGATAACAGTGCAGGAAGATCAAAAGACAGAGCGCCGGAAGGAGAAGCTGCCGCAGTCGCCACAGCCTGGGGAATCGCAACAGCAACAGCAGCAGCAGCAACCGCAGCTGCACCAAGAGCAGCCGGGAATCCGACCGCTCGACGGAGTCAGTGGACTTTACATTAGGATAGTGCTGAGGCACGAAGATCGCGCGAATCTAGTCTGGCTATACAAAACACACATATTCTAAATTCCGTTGATTCGCCTCGTCGCTTCCGTCTGGATGTCTCAAGCGACCTCGCAGCTATACGGCTCTACGACTTATCCATCCATGTTGAAAGGTACCGCGAATACGAGACCGTAATGCATTAAGACGCATTACAGCGCTCCGCATATTCCGGGGTTACTTAATGTCTTAAGAGAGCATCGGCGTTCCCTTTAACGTTTTAATGTCGACGCGTCGAAGTAATGCGCGCGTCAGAATTATCAACTGGTGCATGTAATCAGCTTCTTCTCCACGACCCAAGTGAAGCTTTAACGGTACGTCTTTGCGCCGCTGCAATCTCCGGTAATCTCGATATGCGCGTCGCCACTTTTAGATATAATAAATCAGAGGATTCCGTTAGGCTTGATTGTCCATGATCGTGGAAGAAGACAATCGTACTCATGTTATTGTTGCAAGAGAAATATGTATTTGTTAAACGTAAATATGTGCATGTAAACAGAAATGCATCTGTCGCTTCGTTTATCATGCTTTCTCTATCGTTCGACAGATTTATACCGTTCAGTCTAATAAATACACTATTGCAGACAGATAATTAACATGAGAATTAATTAAATAAGTTCAATTTAAAGATACAATTTCCTGTATATATAATACGTAATATTTATTATTTGAATTGTTATAATTATTAGCCCACATAATTTATCTCGAGCAACTATCATTTTTTTTTAGTTCTTAATTTATCATAAAAATTATCTAAGCCATAAACTTCATACTTTTCATCATCTTTACTTCTCACCACATAGAACTATTTCCATTATTAATCAACGAAGTTGCATTGTCAAAAATATTGACTTATATCGAACGAACTTTTCACTGTACGAAACATAATGTGGTTATAGTAACAATTTCAGAGAGATACTATATACGTTTGTTAAAAATAGATCTTATATTATAGCCAAGAGAGACACGGAATATATATTCTACATATGTTTCTGAATAATAGCGGCTATTCGACAGTAGATGACTAGAGAGCCGATATTTTGCCATAAATGCTTGCCTGGACATTATTACACTCAATGCAAGACACATTCATTTCTTCATTCGGTTGCACTGTCAATTATCAGACAACCAAAAATCACAGCGAAGCCATGGGTTCAGGTAGTAAAAGAAGTCTGAATACTCGCCAGATAAATTTTGCTGAAACGAATATTAATTATTACCGTAGCTTTTAACTATAATAATTGATGCATGCAGCTACAAAATAAGTTATATGTTCAGTCCGTTATAGATAAAAAAACATGCACTAAAGTTTAAACACGTATGCCTGCTCTTAACGTAACGTTAGATATCAGTCCGGTAGAGATTACAGAAAGCAGTTTAATTTTTAAGCAGAGCTTAACGCATAGATCAAAACGTGAACAATTGAGCGCAAAACTAAAATGCAGCTGTCGCCTCTGGTAATGTTTTTATTACTGTCGCATGTGCAGCTTATTTGCATAGATGTATCAAAGATAAGTTCATAAATGTGAATATGTTTACTTGTTTATGTACCGTTGTCTGTTGTGTGCAGCGACATTTCTATTGTTTTATACGTAAGATGTATGTACAAAAAAAAATATATATATATATATCGTTGAGCAGCCTAAATGGCGCGAACTCCTTATCACAATGTTAATCGATAATGCGATCGAGCTAAACCTAAATGGATAAAGTATATGGCATATATATCTCGTACTGATATACCTTCTTCTCATTTAAAATAGCTTCAATTAAAAGTAATTAACATGTTCACTGTCACCGACGCGCAGGCGCGTCTTTGCGCTTGTGTCTCTATTTTTAAGCGCTCAAAGTATAAGCGCCCAAAGTTTTATACAACTCGCCTCACTAAAATCACTTTTTAAGAGAATTATGACGAAATGTTCCTGGCGAAATGTTCCAAAAATATAAAATGAAAAGATAGAAAACATAGTGATAGTAAACGTGTTAATTCAATGGCTGTTCTGCGATTATTCATCTGGCTACTGCGTATTTTAATCAATTCAATGTTATACTAGTATCCGCGTTAGTCTTCCATCTATTCTTATTTTGCGAGAAAATACACATAAGAATACATTTTTCAATTTAATATTGATAACATATTGTGGTAACTTTAGTTTAAGTTTTCTTTACAACATAATTAAGTAATATTTATGCGTCTGATTTTATACATATCCTTCCTTCTGAACGCATAGTTTATATAAGAAGCGCACTGCTAATATTTCTTCCGTTTGAAGGTAAAACTGTAACAGAAAGGAAGAAAGACGGACCGTCGTATGGAATTGTATAAAGTTCAAACCGTTAATTCGCTGGCGATCGGTATAACTCTACTTAAAAGTTCGATCTATTTACTGTGATATGCCGTAGCCAAATCAGTCCAACTATAAATAAAGAAAAATACGATGTCAAGAATGGAGTTCTTCATTTTATCTCATGACTTTAAAGCGCCTGCGGGAAATCATAATAGATGCGACCAGATGGTAGGAAAAGGTAATTCAGTTCTTAGAAATACAAAAGGTAGTATCAACGCGTGTGCGTTTTACTTTGACGTTGATAATTTTTTCCTTCTCTTTTTTGCGTAAATACGAATCTCGCGCACGTTCAACACCTGGATTACGTTATTCCATTCGCACTATCGTATCTCGTGCGGGAAATGCTGAGCGGTCAACGTGGTGATAAATCGCAGACAAATCATCCCAAATAAATAGCGAGAGGTGTTACGCGCCAAAGAGATCGATGAATATTATCATGACATTTCGCACCCGTGCCTTTGCCGACCTTGTTCTCCCCCCAACGATCGACTCGACTCGTTATGAGCGTCAGATGGCAGGCGCATCACAAATAATTATCCTTCCAGCATCCCGGCTACGTTTATGACGTAAGATATCGCGAGATTTAGTCCGTACCGATCTATCAATCGTGCCATCTGCCATCGAGGCTGTCCCGTCGGTGTTAATGTCCTTTTAAAAAAGTTTGATTACACCAAAATACACCAATTGCAAGAGCAATAAGAAAAAAATATTATATTTGAATTTGATTATGAAAACATAATAATCATTCTACATCGGACTATTAATTTGATATTTTAAATAGTTCATGCTATATATGTATATAAATACAACTATAAAAAAAATCATCTATACATTTATTTTTAAATGTAAGTTTTGATAAAGATGATAAAGAACAAATAACATCCTTAACTACCGCTCAGTATAAAAATTTGCTTTTTATTGATATAAATGAGTATATTGTAATTTATTTTTTCATTAAAATATTTATCATAAAGGTACAAACTGTAATAAACAAAATTATGAATTAACTCACTCACAAATTTGATTAATGTCTGTGGAGCGTGTGAAGGATGCGATCACTAATACTCGCGCGTTGCGTGAGCAATAGTTTACAGACAGTCTCTCTAACTGTAATGTAATCTTTAATCTTTAGTTTCAAAAGCTACAACTTCAGATGACAAATGACAAATACTTATTTAATTTATTTATTTAGAATTTTTTGTTGTGGTTCTTTTTGCTGTGGCAAATTTTGGGATACCCTATATACAAAAGGACATACATATGTAAAAGTAAACTTATGTAACTTATTCTGTAAGTGCTGTTTTTTTTTTCAATTTCTCAATAATTTCTCAATAATTTGTATGTACAGTCTATTTGCGATGTAACAATTATTTCCATAATCATACTCGTATATTTTGAACCATAATAAGGTTACCACATGTGATGAAATCATCTTGCACATCAACAATTAATGTCAGTGCTTCAGAAAGAATGACAAATGAAGTACATAATGCATATAACGATTATCAGTTTGCTCTATTAATACTAGTGACACTTATCATGAGTATATTGTATTTTTTTAATAATTTCATTAATCATTACGTATCAGCGACACAAGTTTTCTATAAATTGTCCAGTTATATCGGGAAAACTCAAACAATTGTTGTCAGTTTTCAAGCTTAACATCACGATGTTTCTTTTCAGCCTCAATTTTATATCTTTGTTGGCATTTGCAATTGCCCATAAAAATCCGCATTATGTCGGTAATAGAACTACCATGGTTCACCTATTCGAGTGGAAATTCAATGACATTGCCAAAGAATGTGAAGATTTTCTCGGCCCGATGGGCTACGGTGGTGTACAAGTATGTACAATACGCTTATATAGTATAATAAGTAATGCTCATATATATATATATAATATCTTCGTTATATACATATATAAAATATTACTAATATATCGTATATGTATAATCTTTATTAATTTTTATTCCGATTACAAGGTTTCCGCTTTTTTACGATAACATTTACTTATATTTACACTCTAACATAGTCTGATTTACTTTTTAACTTATTATACTAAACTAATTTATTTATAATTTATATTAACTATTTAATCTCTAAATCTGGTAAAACTCTAGACATCCTATTTAAAATTTCCCATTTAAATTTTTGACACATTTAATCAATTTTCTAACCGACTTTATTTTAAATGAAAAAATTGCATTTATTATTAACAAAAACTGAGTATTTAAGAACATAAACCTATATAGTTATTAGTTTATATTACTCTTAATATAATTAAATTAATTTTGTAGCTTACTAACTGTTATTTAACAAGATCAAGAAAAAACTAATTTATTTAACTCTGTTACAAGTTAATTGGAATAAGTAAATTACAGTGCTGCATTAAAGAATAAAAAAAACAATACTATTGTATACATTTATAATACTTTGTTATTATATTAAAGAATAAATTTGTTAATTTGTTTTTGCAAATTAACTTTATATAAACATTATGCAACAAAATAACAATATACAAAGCACAAGTAGAGTCAGTTTTGTATAGCACTAAATGCGTTATATATAAAAAAAATATATAATACGAAATTGATTAAAAATAAATCACTACAAGAAAACTCCGGACTAATAATAAGAGTTGAGCGTAAAGAATTTTCTTTAATATAGAACAAATTAATTACTCATCGAAGAATCGAATTGCTTTTATTGTAATCGTTACCTTTATATTAATGGCAAAATAGATTCTTGTACTTCCGTAGGTTTCTCCCATAAATGAAAATCTTGTACTAAGTGGTAGACCATGGTTTGAAAGATATCAGCCAATTTCTTATAAAATTATCAGTCGATCTGGAAACAAATCCGAGTTTAAGAATATGGTACAAAGATGTAACAAGGCTGGTGTGCGAATATACGTCGACGCGGTTATTAATCACATGACATCAAATGTAAAACCCGCGTACGGTACCGGTGGTACGTCAGCACAGCCAGATAAGCTTCGTTATCCAGCAGTTCCGTACAGTTCTAAGGACTTCAACCATCCAGTATGTACTATCCAGAATTATAACAATGCTACCGAGGTTCGCAACTGCGAGCTGTCTGGTCTTCATGATCTTAATCAGAGCAAAGTGCATGTCCTAACCAAAATAGTTCAATTTCTTAACGAGCTCATAGATCTTGGAGTCGCTGGCATACGGTAATTATTTTCAATTAATCTATTCTCACCGTATAATATTTTTTATCAAAAATATATAAGAAAATAAAGATAGAGTCTGTTTATGCAAAATAAAAATTCTTAGAACATATTAAGAGTTTAATATTAAAAAAGTTAAGGACTAATTGCAGCATTATTTGGGATATTGAGAACGAATTCTTCTGTGTCGTTCATAATTTCTATTATTGAACTTAATTAAGCAAAAAGAACAAAAAATTAAATCATTTGCAATAAACGATCGCATTTCACCAATAAATAATCTTTGCGTATACAACATCAACGCACAGTCGATGTACATTCCACGCAAAATGTACGAATGAGATATAAAATCTGACGTGTAAACTGGCGATATGCACTCTATATAGCCTTCCCCTCGTCTCTTTCTCTCTTCCTCGTTCTCTTTCTTACATCAAGGATGTACCGAAGACTGATGATGTTTAACATTAAACCGGACGAGCGGTGCCGCGCGATACTGACAGAGGCCGGCTCGTCTGGTAGCATTAATAAATGAGGGACATCAGCTTTTAATTACGCGCCTCGCTCGTAATTGTAACCCGCAGCGAAATCGTACCATCTCGTACCGAACCGGTGGCTTTACAAGCGAAAGAGCGATATACGCGTCGGGAATGATAACGGGGTGCGCTGCCGTCCTGGAGACTGCGCTACGCATCACGTTTGCGGATCGCGAATGTTTTGCGTATACTTTGGGTAAAAGAATGTGGCGTTGATGGCGTATATTAAGAAATCGTGACAGCCGCATAAGTATGTCAAAGTTACAGTGCTCGCACGGAAAAGGAAATCGAATGGCACAATATATATTGCAACAAATATATACGTTCGTACTCTGCCGTTTCGTTAATTATTATACAGATAGCAGGAACACTTGTGATAAGTTAAGAATAATTTTGCTGCAATATGATTTATAATATGTCATACTATAATATGTCATAACAATAAAATCGATTTTTTTTCTTCATTAAGGCATTAGGATGACGATTTCGTTGCAACTTCCTTTAAGATTGTTTTCTATAATTATAATACTTTAGCAGCACACAATCTCGTGTAGTTTTTAAAATTATCAAATTTATTTATAGAAGATTTCTCTATTTTACCAACAAAGTAAGTATTAAAATGGAGCAATTTACGATAATAAAGTTTTTCTTTCATATATAACAGTACAATAATTTTGCTTGAGACAACATAATTTCTTTTTTTTTTCATATACATTCGCTCGCGTGAGTTTATAAATGTGTCAACACGATGAAATTATCGTGAGTGCACGTATGATAATTTTATATTGTTTGAAATAATACTGTATGTATACTGTAGTATATATAGTAAAAACAAAAAGGCTATAATCTTGTTTCTTTATGAGAATCATAACGTCAATGTTATCTTTCTTCTATATATGGTACATGTCCTCTTTTTCTTTTTATTCTTTTAATGAAATTATGTGTATTTTTCATAATTATAGCAGTAACTTTATTTTATGATAGCATAGTTAATAAAATTTTATCCATTATATAAAAGTAATTATAAATATGTAATGTTATAAATACATAGTCCAAGTGTCCTAAATAAACCGGTCAATTAATACAGAGTCCACGCAACAGCTAATAAGTACAATAAAATAATGTTCCTTGTCGCGTGTTATCCACAAGTAAATTATGGAATGAATAAATGGAAATAAATAACGCTACCTATACACAGTCGCATCATTTTCCGCGGGTTGCAATGAACTCTGACCTTTGTGGCGCGTCAGCCACCGTGTGTTGTATCGCAAGTGCCTTGGCAAATGCAGAGGTGATTACCGTAAATGTGCGATTAAATTCAATGGAGTCGGCGGTATCTACAATCAAACGGTAAAAATCTTAATTGACCGAATAGCGTTAATTAATTAACGAGCCAACCTCTTGCCGACGCTCATAATTCGGCGCGGAAATAACTGTTTGGGATGTTGAACCCCTGACCGGAGCCGTGTTTAGCTACCGATCCCGCCTGCGTGCCACATGCGAAATAAAAGATACGCGGAATTAGCGGTCATTTATAACAAGACATTTGCAGTAAGAATAGCAAAATGCAGAGAAAAATTCGCGTTTCTTGATGCAATTCTAGTTTTTTAGATCCAGAGATTAGTCCATAACATTCTTATATATTTTAATACTCTAAAAATTCAATGTTCAAATCGCTCCATTGCGTCTCATTTTATCGATTGTGTGACTGCGTTATCATTTATATCGATATATCTATAGTATTTTACCATTTTTATAATATTTTATCCTTTTTTGCAGCATTGATGCCGCCAAACACATGTGGCCAAATGATCTTAAAGCTATTTACAAAAAAATTAAGAAATTATCTCCTAAGAATGGATTTCCGCGAAACGCAGACTGTTACATCTATCAAGAAGTCATCGATCTCGGTGGTGAGGCCGTCAGTAAATTCGAGTACAATGACTTTGCAAATGTCATTGAATTTCAGTTTGGTATCACCTTGGGTAATATGTTCCGTGGTCAAGACAGTTTAGCGAAACTGAAAACTTTTAATGACGCGAACACTTGGAGATTAATACCTTCCAGCGATGCTTTAACTATGATTGACAATCATGATAACCAGAGAGGTCACGGTGCAGGTGGAGCTACTATTTTGACATATAAGGACCCGAAACCGTACAAGGTGAATTTTTTATGTATATATATTTTTTTAACAATATATATCATAAATATATAAGATTAGTTACTGTATTAGAGGATACTCTCTGTCTGTTTCTCTCTCTCTCTCTCTCTCTCTCTCTCTCTCTCTCTCTCTCTCTCTTTTTCTCCTCTTTCTCTCTACTCCTTATTATTTATACAGATGGCAGTAGCCTTTATGCTTGCCTATCCCTACGGCCATGTTCGAATCATGAGTTCCTTCAACTTTACTGATCCCAGTCAAGGACCACCAGCAAATTCAGATGGCAGCATCATTTCACGAAAGATCATCAACGGTAGATGCGGCAACGGTTGGGTCTGCGAACACAGATGGCCAGAAATTTATCACATGGTCCAATTTCGCAATCTGGTGAATGGTGAGAAGATACAGAATTGGTGGAGCAATGGGAAGAATCAGATCGCTTTCTCTCGCGGTGCCAAAGGTTTCGTTGCCTTTAACATTGAAGGCGATCTACGCGAAAAGTTGCAAACCGGATTGCCTGCAGGAACATACTGCGATGTCATAACTGGAGAAGTCATCAACGGTCGTGGCAAGTGCAGCGGAAAATCGGTAAAAGTTGGTGATGATGGTACCGCTACGATAAAGATTTTATCAAACGAGCCGGAAGGTGTGCTTGCCCTTCATATTCAGGTTAGTACAATAAAAAGCGATAAAGAGAAAGATAACAGACACAGTATTATCTGAATTTTTTATATGATTGCAGGAAAAACTGTAGAACACAGATGCAAATCGATAAGCTCGTTATAAACGCAACATTTTATCTATGTAATTAATTTGCAGTTTTATGTATAATAAAACATTTTAAATTAAACTTAAAAAAAATACAGGTTTGTGAAGTTGGCATCCCTAAATACGAATTTTGACAAAATCAACATTGTATTTGATTGTCTACTATTTGTTCACATTTGAGAATAATTACTTAATAAAGATATCATTTTATATTTGCATAATAATCTTAAAGTTACTCAGAGAATCCTTATCATATCAATTACTCAAGCGAGAGAAATAGAATTTCTGTAATTAGAGAACTTTAATCTCTCTTTATTTATTAAAATCTATTATATATTTATTAAAATCTATTATATCCTCGACATTTTTATATTAGAAAGATATATATATTGCGAAATATATAGATCACTATAGATGAAAATCGACTTTTTCCGCTTTCGTACAACGTATTTCGCAAGACACGCACTTTGATCGATAGATAAATTTAAACTGATCAGATAAAAATAGACGGAAGCAGATAAAGATAGATAAATATAGATAATGCTATGTGCGATTCAATGTTTATTTACATACCATGATACACTTGAATTAGCAGTATACCAACATGCAGAGAAGACACGAAATTATTCAAAGAGTGCCTTGAAACAATTTATTTTCCATTCAATTATTTTCCATTATTGACCTTGCGTAACCTTCAATTATAGGTCACTGTATTCATCTTAAAATGCTCTATCAGAATATAAATAAAAAAACGTCATTCCATTTAAAAAAAACAGATTTGACCTATGCCTATCCTTTACGCCTCCACCTACAAAACAATTATTGACATCACATTATGTGCCCCTCGAAACCAAGCAACTTTTTCAATACTTTTGCTTCTATAGTTAAAAACAAACGAGTTATTCAGGTGACAAAATGTTTCATGTAACATTTCATCGTAATAATATTAAGATGATTCAATAATCAAGACAAGCCTAAAAATTACCAATGTTTTATTTGTCATTTATTTTAATGTAATTGTTATTTGTTGATTTAAAACATGATTCACAAAGACTAATGTGTTTTTTCTTTAAATGAAACATTATGTGTTTCTTTTTAAATATATTTTTGATGCTTCAAATACGTTTTAAAATGGAAATGGAAAAAAAATATATTTAAAAATATATTGTTATGCCCACTCTATGCCGACACTCGTGTTGGTGTCGTTTTCAAAAAGACCAAAGGAAGGACCTGAAACGACGAGCCGTCGTCTGCCTTAATAAATAAGTTTGGGATTAACTGAATTTGTTTCAGTCGCGCGTCGCTTCGATCGGATGTGTTCCGTCAGCTTCTGCTTTTCCTTGACTATTGTTAATAAAGTGTACTGTGTTTCCGGCAAATTCTGTGTCTTGATTTCCGTGTTGCGGAAGCACTTGCTTGCTCGGGCTCGCAGATCGGTCACGCGGGCGTAACAATATTGAAAACATCGATTAAGCATGTTTTAAATTAAACATTTTTTTTACCCTAATTAAAAATATTATATACATAAGTTGTAGTCATACATACAAAAATATAGTCAACACATATGCATCCAATTTTAAAATTTGATTGACGATCAAAAGACGCAGCCGACTAAATTAGCACTAACAAGTGAAACTTAAAAAAATGATACATTATGCGCATAATGCGAGAAACGGAACGTGGTCTATAAGTGAACTGTGAATACAATGTGAAAAAAGATGTGATTACGTGATTAAGAGAGTCAATCAGACCTATTCTTTTAATTAATCGCTAATTAATCTCTGTTTTCTATCGCTAATTAATCTGTTTTCTGTAGCTCTCTAGTTACGACTAAAACTTTTACGTGGCTAAAAATAAAGTAACGATAAAAGTAACTGGTAAAATCGTTATCATTACCTCAAAAATGTAGCTGCGTTACCTTGAACGTTACGAAATGTGACTAAACGCTCAAACGTATTAGTTTTCGTAGCGATAACCGATACGTGATAATATTCGTTAATTAAATTGAAACGTGCTTCTTTTCGCCGAATCATGTAAATAATATACTGTTTGTCGTAAGAAAAATGAAACATCGTACTCTTCGTAGCAAGCGTCAATATAAAAAAAAACAGTGAGTACTTATTAGACGGTTTTGGAACGCTTCAGACGGCTTCAGAACGCATCGTCAAGTTATTTTATTGTTAGTAAATTATGCAGTATTGGTCAATTAATTCAAGTATTTTGTACTAAATCAGCTTTTACGGTTTCTATATCTGCAAAAGAAATAAAATTTGGTCTGCACTAATCGTACATTCTTCTCTCTTTGCAAAGCGAATAAGCAGTACACAACTATCCTTTCGCTTTTCCCAATTCAATGTTACAGTACTTGGTTAAGTACAGGATAAACTTTTGGCTTATATTTTAATATTTGACTGTTAATTCTTTTGCTGTTCGTTTTTGACGATTAATATTATCCACAATTTGTAATGATTACATAAAATTTCTTATCCACTACAGTGATGAGTTAAATATTGTTTAAATGAATATTCTTATAATAGTCACTTATAATAGTCAAATTAAATCATTCAATTTATCAACTATTAAATTCTTTTTATGTGCTGTGGAGAAAGAACTACTTAATTTATTGTAATTATCAACGCTGAAAACGGCTCTGAACCAAAATGTTCATATCGTATGTAATTTAAACTTGAATATATTTTTATAATTTTATATTTACGCACAGGTAACTGCATTTAACTCTTATTAGCTCAATCTTTACAATTTTTGTTTGTAAAAACGTCACGTTTGAAGACACTTTTCTTTAACCGTATAGCATTACACAAATTTCTTTAATTTAAACACAAATGTTTTTATAATCGGAAAAACTTATCTCTCTGAATGTAGAAAAAAATTTAACATAAAAAGAATACTTATCTTATGATTGTGGAACTTTTAGAACTCCAAAATCAGTATTTTAAATTTCCTTTAAAAATATTTACTAATTATACATATGTAAATGCAATTATACATATACCATTAACATAATAACAGTACAAATATGTTTCTTGAAATAATAAAAAATTAAAAACAAATAAAAAGGTCATAAAAGTCATGTATATATTCTTCTTTCTCTATTATTTTTTTTAAGTTTTCTAATTTCGTTACTTTTCTCTCTTTTAAATCAGAGAATAAGAATACAGAATAATTTATAAGGCTCACGTGAATAAATCAATACAAAAAATAATAATCGCCATTAAGAGCCGACATAAGTTAGAAGTATGTGAATTCATTTTAATGTAATAAGATTCAATAAATATTAATATAAACGTTTCAACCCTATATTCGGGTCCTTATACATATATATATAGCCTTCAAAGGCATTAATAAACTTAACAGGTTTATCAAGGTACAAAAGGATAGATTAGTTTCTTTTCTCAGAATGACGTTGTATATAAGATCGATTGCAATGATTGTGATTCTTCCTACGTAGGATAAACTAGTAGAAGTTTGATAACGCGTATCAAGGAACATAGAAATCATATTAATAGAAATACTACTCAACAGTCAGTCATAACGCAACATCGTTTAGATTATTCTCATGATTTCAATTGGAATTCTGTACATATCTTGGATAGAGAAGAAACTTTGAATAAAAGACTCATCTCAGAAATTATACATATTAATATGCAGAAACATGGTATAAATCTTAAAAATGGCACACAAAATTTAAATCCGTTATATTCTAATTTGTTTTCATAATTTATGTTGCTTTCATCCTTCTCTATTTAATTTATGTTCTTTCTCTCTTTTAATTGAAAATGTTTATAGTTATTCTTTTTGACATTGTGCAAAGTTTCTATTATATTGCTCTTGTGTTTTGATCATTATATACAAGTACTTTAATCTTGAACGAGTAACATCTTACATATAATTTATACATTTTTCATGTGAGTATTGATTTGATTTCCGATTTTCATAATATTCAATAAATTGATTTTTAATTCTTGATACAATTATTCTTTATAGTTTACTGAGCAGTTTAATGAAACTCTTTACAATAATTATGTACATTATTGTTATTAACTCAATTAATTCTTGACAGTCACGTGAGTTTTTTAATTTTATTAAAATTTTTTGACTATTATAATAATCTACATATATTGTTTTAAAAAATTTTTTAGTTGAATTATCATTTAGATGAACAAGAATTGATAATTTGGAACGACATCTTCATGTATTGCGATTTAATATTTTTATCTATATTGATAAGGACCCGAATATAGGGTTGAAATGTTTATATTAATATTTATTGAATTTTATTACATTAAATTGAATTCACATACTTCTAACTTATATCGGCTCTTAATGGCGATTATTATTTTTTGTAGAGAATAACGATATCTTTTTTTTAAATATAAAACTTTATTTTTTTTAGAACTAAATGTTCGATACATTTTTAGTATTATTATGAATTTAATTAGAAAAGAGGGTTTTAAATTTTCGAGAACTACCCGACGACTCGGGGATCGTTTTATTTATATGTTTTCTTATGTATTTTTCTTCGTAGAAACCAAAAATAATCATTATAATAATGCCAGACTTAAAGAAAAATTAGTACATTGAAATAAAATGAATAAAATCCTCATTCGTGTCGTTATGAAATCATTGTCAGTTATGCCTCAATGATTTAGAAGTTAAGTCCAAATTGGATCAAATGCGAGTAATATAAGAGCACCACAAAACGTTAATTAAATTATATTTCTCATTAGCATATTTCTTCCAAAAAGATTAATAATCTTATGAAAAATATGAAAACTTTTGAAAATATCATAATACACACATCAATTATTGTTTTCAAACTAATCCCCTTTACGAATAATTTTGTATGTTTAGATTCGATTTATTAATCTAATAATTTGACTAAGTAATATATTGATAATTAGTAACTACTTAGTTAATCTAATAATTAATTAAGTAATATTATTGATAATTGGTAACGAAAAAGTTCTCTTATTTAAAAAAAAAAACAATGATAAATGACTAGATGACCTCTTTCTTTTTATTTGGACTTGGGACCGACAGTAGTAAAGTTACATCTCCTATTACATATACATATATATATATATATATTTACACACACATTGTGTATATATATATATATATATATATATATGTATAGCTTACGGCAGACATGCGACTCTTAGAGTGAAGAAACAATATCGAGATGACAAATGGTATAATAAAAAATATAATCTAATTAACGTTTTGTGCAATATTACTCGCATTTAATCCAATTTGGAATTAATTTCTAAATCATTGAGGCAACATAACTGATAGTGATTTCATAACGATGCGAATAAAGATTTTATTCATTTTATTTCAATGTACCAAATTGTTTCTTAAGTCTGGCATTATTATAATGATTATTTTCGGTTGAAGAAAAATACAAATAAAACGATCCCCGAAAAAGCCTCGAAAAAATTTGTACCCTCCTTTATTAATTTAAATGAAAAAAATATATATCGAGTTACATGCAGTTATTAATTTTCATACATTTCCCTTCTCTTGTGAATCTGTAAAACTTCTTTCTGTTAAATTACATTATTAAGTAATTTTCTAATTTATTAATTTTGTACCTGTCTGTAAAACCAGTTTTTTTAACCAGCAGCGAATAGATAACGCTCGTTTATATAAATGTTATTACAGCTGTAACCTTGACGTCTCTTTGGCTGTTCATGCTTCATCAATACAAATGCATAATTAGAAGCACGTAATTAATTAGAGTACTTATAAGACGTATTTATCGTATTTGTGCGATAAATATATTTTATCGGCGCGGTTGGTCGACGCAATGTAATGTATAGAGAAGCGGAAACGCCACGTGCAGTTGTAATCGGCAAACATATTGATCTTCGAGCAAGCGACCAGTTATATATTTCCGAGACCGATATTTTGCATCAGTCATCAATGAGCATGATGCGAATACTACTGTGCGCGTTAGCGATACTGTCAACAGTAGCCGCTCAGAAAGATCCGCACTATGTGCCCGGTCACGATGGGATGGTGCATCTTTTTGAATGGAAATGGCCGGATATTGCAAAAGAATGCGAAAAATTCCTCGGTCCCATGGGATTCGGTGGTGTACAAGTAAGTAAGATAACATTACACAGAAAAATATTCTGTTACTATGAAAAATGATTGACGAGCTCTTTTGTTTCCTTTGAGAAAATACTCAACTTTCTTCGAACATGACCATCTCCTTATTCGATATAACTTAAGCTTATTGCGTTAATATTGTGTACATCTGAAGAGGGCTCAAATATAGAGCCGAAACGTCATGTTTTTTAATTGTTTTTATTCGTACAATTGAATAGTATAGTGTTATTAAAATATTTATATATAATTTTTTTATTTAAATTTTTTAATTTAATATATTTCATTATTAGATGATTATTTAAAGTTTTAAAGATTTCAAGTACTAAAACCAAGTGATTTTTTGTTTTGAGTAACTGTATCAAATAATTTTTATCTTTATTATTATAAGAGAATTGATTCTTTGTGCTGTATTTTATCTTCAGATTTATTGAAGGGAAAATTCTGAAAAGAAAAGGTAAGAGTCTTTTAAATCGATACCTTTTTTCTTTTCAGACTTTTCCTATCAACAAGCACAATGAATCAATTCTTATAATTATAATAAGGAATAGAGAATACAAATTAAGGTATCTACCAAGCAAATAAATAACAGATCTGGAGACACGGTAGTGTCTCGGTAAATAAGTAACCTAACCAAATACTGTAAAAAGAAAAAGTTATATAATATTAATTTAATATTTATGTCTTGATTTATAAGTTTTACAACTGTCCGAAATCGATTTGATTTCCCATGAAATATTTTGTTAAACACGAAAATCACAAAGAGACATGTATTTTTTATACTTGTGCTAATTCATGTTTAAGGAGGTTCGAGCGTTAGTCAAAATCCAATTTAGAGACTTAATTTTTTTAATATGATGTAAATAAACACTGTATACAAATAATCCAACAATTTGAGCAATATTGACCGTATAGTTTTTTTGTAATATCATTCTGAAATTGACCATTTTAACATAGCGTCTTATGGGAGACAGTCATTCCGAAGTAGATAATCACCGATTTATACACACTCAACTTAGGACTTTGAAAAACTAGGATTTGACAGATGAAATATCAACGATTGTGTACAAAACAGGACAATCGGATTTGACCGTATGGATTTAAAACTTTATTATTACAAAGTTTATCTTTACCTTATAATTCGCCATGATCGCCATAATCTGTCACTGCCCGTCATGTCGCGAAGTGCAACGTTGCCAAGTGTATACTCGACTTCTCGAGTCGTTGATAATCTTATAAACTTGTTAATATTCTATTAATAATTTACTAAGAATATAGCACACAAATAATATCCACAATTGATTACACTAATAATGCACATAATTCCGAATGGGTATAATGACAATTTCTTTGAATTGCATTTTTGACTCTAAAGTAACGCTTGAACCTCCTTATAATGAGTAAAATACTTTTTTGAAAAAAAAAACGGTTTTTCTCTTTCGAGCCGAACATTATTGGAAGTGTAAAAGATAGAAAAATATTTTTACAACAAAAATTGTACGATTTCAAGAATGCTTTAAAATTGTAACAAAAATTGTTTCTTTTGTTTAATAAAATATCCCTACCACCTAAAAAATTTTTTTTTTTTATGAAAACTTTAAAGCACTCTTAAAATTGTACAACTTAAAAAAAATTTTTTTGCTATCTTTTATAGTTCCGACAATATTCGGCTTGAAAGAAAAAAATTGTTTTCTTTTAAAGGGGTGTTTTATCCCTTAAACATGAGTTAGCGTATGTATAAAAATTAATTTTAAGGAACCAAAATGACTCGTATAAGAAACTCGTGTAAAAGTGGTATAAATAATTTGTATGAAAAAAAATTAAAAAACTTATCCTATTTTGACTGACATAAAAAATAGACTTTCTTTTGACTTGGATTGTAAAAAAAGCAAATAAAAGACTTCTAATTTTGCAATTTTTTTAGTATATATTTGTTGTACAGAAAATTTACAAAAATATTAATGTTTAGAAGAAATACAGTAAAACGTGATTTTATATGCGTCCGTAAATAATGTTCACAATTCCGACATTTCGATTAATCAGAAATAGAAAAATAAATTTGCTTCTGAAATAATATGTACGATACTCCTTATCGTGTGATAAATCAATTGTCAAAAAAATAGAAAATGCGCCTTTACACGATAAGAAACTATAATTTATGGAACAAATTCATTTTTCTTTTTAAGGCTGTCAAAATGACATGTATACTATTTCTCAGTGCATCAAAGTCATGTTTTATTTCATTCAAACATCAATATTTTTAAATCAAATTTTATATCTGACAAGTTAAATATGTACTAAAAAGTCAAATTAGAAGTCACATTCATACTTTTCGTAATCTAAACCTAAAGAATCTAAATTTATATTGATAAAAAAAATTGACATTTTGACAAAGAGATTTATACAAATATACATATATATGTACATATATGTAGTATACGTATATTGTATATAATTGAGATTGAATTATTTAAGCAACGGAGATCCAGTTTCGATTGTTATAGATTCATTCTTATTTCTTATCGGTTGTGTTCTTACATGTACGATCTTATGAGATTTAATATTTAAGAGATTTATAATTAAGTAGGTTCCAAATAGACATATCATCAACTCAAAAGGATTGATATGCTCTAAAAAAGTATTTCCCTAAATTCTGTGCCTATCTGTGACAATCTGTGTATACCATCGGGCCGATAATTAGAACGAATCCCCCTAAATTACCGCAGGTTTCTCCGCTCCAAGAGAATGTGATTGTACACAATAGACCATGGTGGGAACGTTACCAACCTATATCTTATAAGTGGGACACGAGATCGGGCACCCCGGACGAATTCAGGGACATGGTTCGCAGATGTAACAAAGCCGGAGTAAGGATTTACGTTGATGTGGTCTTCAATCACATGACCGGAAATCATGATGTCGCAAAAGGTACCGGCGGTTCAACGGCGGATACTCACAAATTCGATTATCCAGGAGTACCGTACTCCGGATTCGATTTTCACGTCCCTTGCTCCATCGACAATTATAACGACGCGGGGAATGTAAGGAATTGCGAACTGTCCGGTCTGCATGATCTCAATCAGGGAAATGAATATGTCAGAGAGAAGATTGTCGACTTCTTGAACGGTATAGTCGATGTTGGAATCGCTGGCTATCGGTTAGTAAAATCTTTACATCCCATGTAATTCTGTTGCAATGTTCTCAACCAATGTTTCGAAGTACCTTCTGATTAAAGAAATTGTTCCTTTCATGTATTGGAACTTTAATGTCGCTTACCTCGATATAAGCAAAAATTTTTAGTAATATTTTTAAGTCATTTTGAAAACCGTTAATTAAACAAGATATATGCATATATTTATTATATTTTTCTATGATAAACAATTCTATCCATTTCGGAATTTTAGAGTAGACGCAGCTAAGCACATGTGGCCGGAGGATCTAAAAGTAATCTACTCTCGGGTAAAAGATCTCAATCCCGAGTATTTCCCTGCAGGCACGCGACCTTATATATTCCAAGAGGTGATTGATTATGGCAGCGAAGGGGTCAGTAAATACGAATATAACTCTCTTGGCGCGGTTACGGAATTCCGATATGGCATGGAGATCAGCAACGCCTTGCACAAAAAGAATCAATTGAAATGGTTTTCCAATTGGGGAGAAGCTTGGGGTTTGTTACCATCCAAGGATGCTCTGGTATTTATTGACAATCATGATACTCAGCGTGGCCACCCCGAAATACTTACCTACAAGTCATCGAAGCTATACAAGGCAAGTGATTCTCGAGAGAACTAGAGAAATTAAAAACGGAAAAACACGGAGACTGAATTACGTCTTTATCCAAAGATCAAATTAGTAATAAGTGATATTGCAGATGGCTGTTGCTCTTATGCTGGCACATCCTTACGGAACTCCACGTATCATGAGTTCTTACGCTTTTGACAATTTTGACGCCAATCCGCCACAGGACACTTTGGGCAATCTTATATCTCCAACCTTCCACTCTGACAATACTTGCGGTAACGGTTGGGTCTGCGAGCACCGATGGCGTCAAATTTACAACATGGTGCGCTTCCGAGTTGCTGTGAATAATACTGACGTGAACAACTGGTGGGACAATGGCCAGAATCAAATCGCTTTCTGCCGAGGAAACAAGGGTTTCATTGCGATCAATAATGACGATTATGACCTGAAGCAGGATTTCTTTACTTGCCTAGAGACTGGTACTTATTGTGACGTTATCTCTGGAACCTTAAAGAGTAACAGGTGTACTGGTAAGAAAGTAAAAGTGGATAAAAATGGAAAGGCGCACGTAGAACTCTTGGCGCACGATGAAGATGGTGTGTTCGCCATTCACCGAGGGGTAAATAGTTTTGTTTATCGTTAAATTCCTTCAAATGAGATGTTTTTGCGAGATTATTATCTTTATCATATAATAATTTATACCTAACCACATTAAGTGTTTTTTTTTTTTAAGAATAACTGTATTCTATAAATTTCTTTCATTAATCTTAATTTTAATATTTAATTTTAGATTTGATTGAAATAATATTTTATCTTAATATTTTAGCTAAACAATGAAGAAGAGTTTTCTTAATAAATTGTTAATTTGGATGTCAATGATAACTAATATCATGTTTGAAAGAATTAAATTATTTTTATGCAATAATACATTTGAATTACATTATAATGTAACTTTTAATATATAATTAATTTCTTCGCAGTCAAAAGTAAAACGATCAAGGAAATCATAAAAAGCAGATTGAAGAATTGCTTATGGTAAGCATATATTGACACAAAATTTGTTATATAAAATATATAATTTAATAGAATAAAATATATATGTAGTTGAATTGAAAAGAATTTAATTGCTTTTGAATTAAATATCTGATTAACTATAAAATATGAATTGGTTGTATACTTTTATTTGTTAAATAAAATATAATTGCATAAATTAATACAATGGAATGTCATTATTAATTCTGTTTGTTTGTTTTTATCCAATATATGTAATCAAATTCCAGAGAGTATGATACTCTCATTTATTTTTATCGCTTTATCAAATCTATTATCTTAATCGTCCGCTGATATTATTGCTATCGAAAAAGATTTCATTAACTCCACAGCATATTGATAAAAAAATATATTATAACAGTCGGTAAAATTGAGTGAAACACATCTGTTATTTTTCAACAATGTTTATTTTAACAGAAACAATGTACTGTTTTTCCTCTTTTCACCATTAATTTCTACTATACATGATGACAGTTAATCGTAAGATAATACACGACAGACTCGCGATGGAAAAACAAAAAATAGTCGAAGGGAGATCGGGTGAGATGGGATGGACACATACCGTAAAATCGATCGGTTTCGAGGAAGTGAGATATACCGATGGATAAAAAAAATCTTGAAATATCACAAAAAATTGCCTTATCGTCGATTTTATCACCTTTATCTTTAACTTCTAATCCATGTGTGCGGTTAAATTATCTTTCGCTGAAAAAAATCTGTCAGCACACTTATCGCTCTAACTCTTTTCTCCCATCCATTCTTCCATTCTTCTCATCGAATGAACATGCTGCACGAAATAATTAATGCGTAACGCTCGTAGTTATCGCATTAATATAGCGTGTGAATCTCGCGACTAAGATACTAATATAATAAAATACTACGGGACATTTGTAGAAGCACGACATAAATAAATGCTTAAGCGTTATGTACAGTGGTATTGTTTAAGTAAAAGCCGCTCGGTTATAGCACTTTTCTTTGGCGGAACTGGTGTGTACTCAGTGCACATCAAAGTCAATGTACACTAATCTATATCTTAATGTAAAAATGAGATATCTCAATTGATAAATCCCTACAATGTATATCTTATCAAATAGTACAATAGAATGTATAATACTTAGGATTTCTCGGTTTAACTCATTTCTATATTTTCATTAAACATACATCATTACGTCGATTTGTGTACAACGGTCTTAAAGTGCATTGAGTGTACACACCAGTTTTGCGCCAATGAAAAATGCTATTTGTGTTAGCGCACCCGAGTTCATTATATGACAAAAAAATGATTCGTTTATTTGAGATAAGAAGAGGGTTACTAAATGAGGGCTGCGTCTGTTCAGCATATCAAATGAAAAGAAAGTTCTCCTTACGTCACGTACGTTATCATTGTACATATGTATGTCGAAAGTTAGCGTAATCGCGAATCATAAATAATACGCACGTAAACAAACCTCAACCTACAATTATCTTTCTGCGTAACGTAGAGAAGTAAGAGCATCTCATGTGATTATAACGTCTAATTACTATTAGTAATTTTGTATTACGAGTATAGTAACAAATTATGCAAAGGAATTTTCTTTTTTCACGGTTTGAATAAATAATAAGACACACTTGAACAAATTTTGAAATGCTGCAATTTCTAATATTCTTCTCTTTACTTCTTTGTTTTTTTTTTTTTTTCGTCGAAAACACAAACTCGGGAGCGCAAACGTGTAGAAACACTAGAAACATGTTGTTTAGGCGTGTCATGTGTCATGTATATACACATGTATATATGTACATATAATTATAACTTTATATGATCAGCAGTAAATTCAGACTAATGTGTATATGCGTACTTCGTGTTTATGTGTGTGTGTTTCTTCGTGTATGTAAATCTAAAAAATACTGCTCGTCTTACGAACCGATTCGTTTGCCACACACACACACTTTCACTCGCTAATGGTACGTATAAGCGCAGTTTGACGTCGCGTCGTCGCCCTATACCACCATTTACATCTTAATCATTACGTGAATACAATAAGGCAAAAACGGGTACTACATCTCTAAATAAATAAACGTTTGACGTTGTATGAAACTTGGAGATTAAGAGGGACTAAATAAAAGAGACGCGTTATAATGTACAATTCCTAAAGAGCTACACGGGTCCGTCGCGCGTAAAACTGTCGTCGTCGTCGCACGTGTCAATGTCCTGTGTACGTATCCCTTTTCGTGTGTGTGTGTGTGTGTGTTGTGTCTTCCTTTCGTGTATGTGTGTGTTCGCACGTGGATTTTATTCTTGCACATAGAGCATTAGCAAAAATATAATTTAGTATATTTATTGTAATAATTCTCGTTCATATAAAAAACTTCGTTAAAATATATAAAAGAAACAACGATTTGAGCAAATACGTATCTCCTATGGTAGTTAAAAGTTATCGCGTCGAAACGTATATTTATTGTTATTGCACGTAATTCTTCTCGCTGATTATGTATAGATTTATTCTTTTAATATATATATATATATATATATATTGTATATCTATATACTTACATCCGCTTCACACATTCGCACTTAATCATTCCGACATATGTATGTACACATTTATGCGTACGTTTCACGCACGCCTCCTCCCTTTATTTTTTCTTTCTCTTTTCGATATCGAGTTAGTAGTTGTTCATTTCATCGACTTTTCGTATGATGTACAGAGATACGAATTCGGCCGTTCAGAAAGTCGATCGACGGTCAAGATGATTTCAAATAAAAGTAATATGTTCCATCGCGCATCGGAAATTAATCCGATCGATCACTCGACAACGTTATCTTGGAAGACTTTACGAAGATAGGCACTCGTTTGATTTACTATCTATTAGTTATTTCACATCTCGAAAGAAGAACTCCAAAAATAAAATTAAATAAAATAACTCCATTTTAATGATCGTACATAATGAGAGTACTGATACATTTAATAAATTTTCTGTTTTCTTTTTAATTTACTAAACTGTTTAAAGAAATCTGCAAATACATTATAGAAACAAAAATAATATAGAAATATAATTTATTTGTAAGATTTTTAGTCACAGAAATTTTTATTTAATAAAATATTTAAACAGAAATAATTTAAACAAGATGTATCCCCGATATATATTTGTCATCGCATGATAGAAGAAAATCGTACGTTACATAATGCGAACAAAATATGTCAAAGTATGCATTCTTAATTTTCTATTTTTTACACTGTAAAATAATATACTATTTAAGTACATACTGAATCCATGATAGAGATCACAAGTTTTAAAATTACCTATTTTTATAAATCCTCACGTAGATCTATGTCGTCGTATTTTTATTTATTATACATAAATATAATTTTTCAGTATTTTTATTATTTAAATATCAAAATAAAATAAATATTTATAATTTTTTGTTCATTAATTATGATTTCTCTTGAATTTGACATAATTTTGTACAAAAAATCAAATTTTTAACGAAATTATTTCATTGTCGCATCAAAATTGAATCTTTAGCCAATATATTCAACAGAACATAGTTTCGTTGAAATCTATTATATTTCGTTAAAATTACTAAATAAATTACATCGAAGCTCAGAAATATATATTTACGAATTTTTTAATTATCGTACATAGATCCATTCTTGCAACGATGTATGTACACGTGATTCAGCTAAACTTCTTTCTTCGACCGTCTTTCCACGTAATTGTAACTATTCAATGGTTTTACTCTATCGTTACTATGTATGTATGTATATATAGAATTTTCAAAAATATTTCTCTATTTTTGTATCTAAATATTACTCGTTCAATAAGTAATCAAAAATCAGAGCTGAGCATGTATTTGAAATATACCTTTGTTTGAAAAACGGTATTTGTAAGACTATTGTATCTTGTATTTTGTATTTCAGCGAAGCACATGAAAATTTTGTATTTTAGTATAATATTAATAACGAAAGATTGAAAATATTTTGTGTTTCAAATATTAAGATTGATTGAATATTAAAAAGATAAATTAATCTTATTATTTAAATTTCAAAATACATAATTTCAACCTCTTAATTTTAAATACAAAATACTTTTATATGTACTGTCGAAAATATAAAATATAAAATACACTTTTATCGCAAAAATTGTGTTTTATACAAAAGTATTTCAAATACATGCCCAATTCTGTCAAAGACTACACAAAGCTGAATTCTCAATTTTTTTACTTTCAGTTTTATATACGCAAATTCATACGTAATTAATTAACATATCTTCCTGCTGCATTTAAGTTCTATGTAATCCGTCGTTACAGTCGAAGCTTATAGTTTCGCTGAACAACAGTTCTTCAGGTCTCTACAGTTTAGGCTTTAGCTTATCCTGATGTGATCGACGGAACGCTCAAAAATATTTTTATTCTCAAGCATTCAGCTCTCTACATGCTACATGCTGTACAGGCTACATCAACTCCCCTCTCACTCTTTCTCTTTTATATCCTTCAGTCCAGTCTCGACTAAAACTCTCGATCTATATTCTCTAAAAGTTTTTCCGGGTACTTAATTATTGACAGGCGGAGTCTCCATGGTTCTTGAGATATATATATATATATATATGTATATATGAAATCATCTTCTTCGATTGAACACGTCGATGTATATATGAAATCATCTTCTTCGATTGAACACGTCGTTCGCGAGTCACTGTTTGATAGGCTTTTTGAAGACGACTTCTGGCTTGCGTACCGGGCGAGGTATACGCCGTTCTATCCTGAGGGCCCGGTTCGGATCCGGAGACGGCGGCGTCGAGATCATGCCGACTGCTGCTGTCTCAGACCCTAATGGAGGAGTCTCCGCCATTGTTTGTCAGTTCCCAGTGCTACTAGGTCGCCGACCCGGCGTTGGCTGTTGTTGTTGCTGCTGCTGCTGTTGTTGCTGCTGCTGCTGCTGTTGCGTCACCGCTGCAGCTGCGGCTGCTGCGCTTAACGCCGGTAGCGGCGTTTGGTGACAGTGGGCACAGTGCAAGCATACCGTACAAGCACCTAGTTTCCGAGCCAACATCACGCGCAGCTTCAAGGCTGGACCGAGCTTCATACCCATCGTGCCTGTCAGGTGGCTTTCCGAGAGTAGCGGTAGTGCTGCGCCGTCTATACGGTGTTCTCGGAAATTCTGCAAGCAAAAATGTAGCAGCATGTTATTAGCGGTACACCATGAGACGAGTGAAAAGAATTTTCATTGATCTTCAAAATTATACTGAGAGCGCAGAGTTGAAAAGTAAAAAAAATTTATTTCTTAATACACTAATGATTTGTGTTAGAAATATCAATATAGTATCATTATACGATAATATGTTAATAAGTTTAGCTATGTATAAACGTTAATTTTTTATCAACGATGTACTTGACTCTTCATTCATGATTGTTAAGCAAAAAGTTAGCGGGGATGCTAAATGTTATTAAAATTCGCGGCATCTAAAACTTTGGTTGTTCGAATATATAGAAGAATAACGTTCGTTAACGCTACTCATCTGTATATACATTGGAGACCAGTCCAATGCATACCTCCACGTGCGGAACGGGACACGTACGCATGTACCGCCGCGCGCGCCGACCTCCGACCGACTCGAATCGCGGCCGAAGATCGTCCTCGCGCGACAGCCGCGACCTCGCTGTCACGCGGAATCCCGTAAATTCGTCTCACGCGAGACACGATCGACGAAAAGACAAGTCGCTATTTGCACAAAATCAGTGAAAACGGTTCGCCTGTTGAGAGAGAGCTGAAAATCGGAGAAGAGGAAGAATAAAGGTGCGGAGGAAGACGCGAAGGCGGAAAAGGGCAAAGAGAGGAAAAAGAAGGTGAAAAAAAAGTACAGGAGCGCGGATGCGTTTCATTCACCGCGCTGGGGGCCGCGCCGCGCCTCGCGTAATTGCAGCTGCAACGACCGCGGGGTGCAACGCGCGGTACGCGCGTGTACGTAAGCGCGATCGCGGACGTCCCTTGCGCGCCGCACCACACGTTCGTGGAATACGGTAATTGCTCGGCCCGCTTATGAATGAAATATTCAGCGCCGTAATGCGAGCCGTACACGCAACGGCAGACCGGTCTCCTTCCTCGCGCATGCCGGGCTCCCTCGCCGAAGGAGGGGATCGGGATCGACGTGGAGATCGAGGCCGTGCATTCATGCCGTTGGGCATTCAGGTCTCTTTTCTCTGTCTTTCTCTCTCTCTCTCTTTCTTCTCGCTGAGATAGCGTCTAATTGGCCGGCTTTCGGAAGGTAGGTGCGAGGTTTATTTGTCACCGGACGAAGTGCTTGTCGATCTCTGTACTTTACGTACCTATTACACATTCCGCAGCACTCCGATAATCGATTTCGATAATACTTAATGTAAATATTGTAAATAAAAAATTTATCATTAGGCCCTCCACAGGCTATAAATCTAAACAATATGCTAAATTTAATTTAAGTAATAATCTTATGTAAATTAAGTTTGCAGTAAATATCGATCCATACATAGATCTTCAAGGAACTATCTAAGATATCTAAAAAAAACGTCCCCTTTCTGTTCTTCGAACTTTCTAAGGACGTTTCTGAGAAATATCCTTCCTTACAACAAAAAAAAAAAAAGGATAAAATGTGTTGTGTGTGGAGTCTCTCGTGCGCAATAATTGTACTAATTTTACGTATAAGTAATTGTTTGTTTCATTTCACGAGTTAAGTAATTTTTGCTCATCATCGTTCAACTGGTAATGACACGCGTTGTGAACTTGGAATCCAACAGGTGTTGCATTCATGCCGCTGGGCTGAATGTAGGTGCTCACTGACCGTTTCGCCAAGCGACTTCTAATCTACGATTTATCTACGTGCGCATCGCGCGCAGAAATATCAAGAGAATTCATCGCGCAACAGGGAATCTATACTGCTAGACGCGAGTCCAGGGATCGCTGTAACAATGAGGTTCGCATAATCGCCGACAGTAAAACGCGTAGTCATTGATTACGGTAAATAGGCCCCACACTGTTTCGGATTCTCGATGCATTCGCGGTTCTAACGGTACGAAGTCAGCCACGCGCAAGAAAAGCCGCCTCTTCACGGTCGCCTCGCGCAAAACGCTAATTAGTTAAGTCATTCACACGCGCAAGAACTGTTCGCACTGTGAAACTGAACTCCGGATGATCACTTTGTCTGACGCGGAAAAAATCTCAGATTCCCAACTAAACGTATTATTTAAACTCAAAACTAGTGATTAAGAAAAAGAGTAATTTCACATCTCCGTTCGTCCATCACGCTATACGCGCGTCCAGTTCTTTCAATTCGCGTAACCTTGTATTATATACAATCAAAATATTATTGTAAAATTTATATTAAAATATATTAAAATTGGTCTAAATGCATATTATAAAAAGACGCAGAGTTTCTTTACCAGAGAATCTTATTTGACAGCTTATTGATATCACGTCCTAAAGAAAGGATATAGAGTTGCGCGAAGATGACTTATGGACTCTCTCGACACATTCGGCACGGATTGCATACGTTAAGAAACACGTTCATCTACAGCTCGATATAGAGGAAGATTCCTCATTGTTTTCGCGAGGCGTGCAGGCAGTTTCGAAATCCCATGAAACGACCGACCGCGGCATGGCCGTTCGACTCGCGTGGTGCGGTGTGGCGTGGCGCGGCGTGGCGCAGCGCAGCGCAGCTGCAGTTGCAGCGAATATATCATCCTCGTGTTGCACCGCGGGCGACCGGGCGCGCACCAAAGGCTGGGTAACGAAGACAACCTATATTTTCTCCACCCAGTTCCAAACTCTTAAGGGCAAACGCGATCTCCCGGCTGGTCCTGCATCAATTATACCTTCCACAAACACGATGTTAGGCCCCCTCGCGAACTCGTCGTCCGTCGACGTAATGCAAGAGGGCTCGCGGAGATGCGCTCCGGCTCGGGAGCATGTGTTATTAAATTATTCGCGCGTCACTGTGAACTTGCGAGAGAGAGGCAAGGAGCGGAGAGAGGGCTGCCCTCTCCTTAAATTATGCGCGTGGGCTTATCAGATATGCCCGCGGGCCAAGAGGCGCGCTAAGCGGAATTTAAATTGGCGAACATAGAAACATTCGTGTAACGATATAAATGCGCGTTGCGATTTGCGATATTTATTGTGCGTCTTGTGACCCTTCGCTGAAAACTTATAATACAGCTCTGCTGTACCCATATAATATGTATATATAATAAAATCTATTCATTTAGCTACATATCGCATTTTGAGTGTTGCAGTACTGCTCACGTAATCGAACATGATTTTACTTTCTTAATTGCTTCGGTCTTTAGTTTTGCATGGTAATTCGAATAACATCGAATAACATTAATTTGAATAACAGCGCCGCAGGAGATTTAGAAAACACGCCGTTGACGACAAACAACACAATTTCGTCGCTAGTGAATCGTCGAGTTCATCTCGAGATAAAGGGACTCCGAGAATATCCGTAAGGTTGCATCCGACCGTGATCTGGGAAAAGACAGAGTGTATTCTCAAAAAATAACGGCTCCTTTCTTGCCGAGCTCGAATCCCTGACCCGAGAAATCTCGCGGTTGTAACCTTAAGAGAGATCACTCAGTCGGAACCACGTCACGTTAAACTATACGCAGTCAGACCAAAGAATCCGTTCTTGGACGCTCGGGTTGATTGGCCGTCGAACTTTTTGCACCTAAAACATAGGTGCGGCAAGCAATAAGAAAATTAGTGCCTCGATATCAGACCTCTGCAATTAGGCGTAGCCTTGATAATTACAGCAAGTTGTAACGATTATAGTAATTTGAAATTATAATGTTAGTAGCTTTTCAATCAACCGCTAAAAGAGATTACTCATCGTTCCGAGACGAGTAATGGAATTATAGAATTATAATAAACTGGAGTACGTAATATTGAGGTAACATCTGTTACCCCTGCTTGGTTCACATTCATTTCTACAGCTGTTAATTTATCAATTAACCTGACTGATAAGTCGAAATTGGCGCATTTATGCATTACATCATGAATCATGTATAGAAATCAATCGCGATGTTTCGTGCTAATATTTGCGAACGAAATCTTATATTTCTTAAAGGTTGTTTTAAAAAAAAGATGTTTCTCTTTTTAATTATTCAACGCATTAAGTTATCGCGCAATACCACTTCAGGACAAGCTCTTAACAGTTCTCTGCCATAAAAGTCGCGTTCGTTCATAGCTACTTCTGACTGTCTCAGTCATTATTACACCTGTCGTGTTACGAAATGGCAGATAGATACAAGCGATGTTTCAGAATAGCTTCAAACGGTCCTGTCGCATACGCAACTATGTAGCATCTGCGGATGACTTTTACGTTATGCCTTTTCTATAATTATCGTAAACTCTTCTATATGAATAAATGTATTCTCAAGTTTCATAACAAGGATTAGTTTAGTAAATCGATGTTTTTAATTGATTATCATTAATTATTGTTCAAATTTTGGAAACAGGATTTTATCGAGAGATATTACTTCTCCCATGAATAGAAGCTCAGATAGTAATTAGAACAAGATTGGTATAGTTGCTATTGTTCCAGGCTACTCATCGCCTCCCTTTGTACGACCCTGTGGAAATTACAATACCGTACGGCATTGTGTTTCAACTCTAACCCACCATTCTTTTAACACGTTGAATTATATGTTACACGTGTATCTCACCTACGCATCGTTGGCGTGTAACATTACGTTGCATTACTGCCGAATGGATAGCCGAGCAATTGCGGGGCAGGCTGTCGCGCAAGGGAACGAAGCGTTCGCCAATAAAAGCGTATAGTGCACGCTGCAACTTTTGCTGGTCGCTACCGAGGAGATTCTCCGAGCTGCTGCTTGTTCCCGATCCCAAGATCCCTTATATAGGAGAACGGCGCTCGCGCGAAGGGCAAAGCGCGCCAGCGATCGCGCGCTGAATTCTGCACGAGGACGAACCGAGGTTAAGAATTTGCGTCGGCGGGCTCGCGCTAGAAATTCCACACACGTGTTTTCGTTCCACCGCGCGACCTCGCAAGGAATTGTTCCGTGAGAAAGGACGATGCCGCCGGTGTATCAACAAGGTGCGCGCGTAAGAACCACCGATTCGCGTCGCAACCGACACGCCGTAATCGATCAAAGCATGAACATTGTCTCCCGCGA